GAGGCAGTGTCTGTCTGTCTGTCTCTCTCTCTGTTTTTAAAAAGTCAGTTAGATTTGGGTACTATTGAATAATAGTATTAATAATATGTATATATACATATTTTTTCACTGGGTTTGCGTATATTTTATTTGGTTATTATGGTAAATCTATCAAGATAGTAGGAGAAAAATATTTCAGGTTTGTGAAAATCTTTGCCCATGGTACCATCAATTTAATGAAACTTTTTGTTTCTCAGTGGCTTTTTTAAAAAAACCATGATTACTGCTTCAGCATGGTTTCTAAATAGATCATATATGTGTGGCTGTGTAATGGATTTTCAATATCATATGACATCATCTGCACTTAGCATATTTCAGAGTTGTCATACTATAATTCTTTTTTAATAGATCTCTTGGTGGATTTTAACTTTTGTCATAAATAATTGCTTTAAATATTTTTTTAAACAGTTATTTTACTTATTTGAATTATTTTCTTTGAGTTAAATGCTGGGAGTAGACTTAATAGTTATTCATCTTGATGGTCCATGGTAGAGCAGGTGTTAATTTCCCAATTTTATGGCTTAGGAAACTGGGGCTGAATTAAATGACTTGCTTAAGGTGACCCAATTTGTAATGGAGGTAAAGACCACTTTGTCTGGTTATGTGATTGTAGTGACTGTCTTTACCTGATAACACACCTGTCCTTTCTCCTGTCTCTATTGAATGCATGTGTTTTATGGCTATACTTTGGATAATACAATGTAATCCTTCTGTAGCAGTCATTAGGAGACAGAAACACGCAATGTCCTAGATTGATTATGGCTGAATTTTTCATAACGAATATAATAGTCATGAGATTTTATTTTTATTGAATAATAAATAGGATAGTGGTTAAGAGTTTGGGCTCTGCAATTGGACTGCCTAAGTTTGAAACCTGGCTCTGCATAAAATTGTAATAATATAGTACCTACCTTAAGAGGATTCAAGGAGGAACAGTGGTTGACACATATCAAACATCAAGTAACTGTTAGTTACTGTAATTAAAGTCATTTAGGACTTGAATTAATAAGCAAGTTGCATATTTAGCAGTGATTGCCAAATATATTTAAATAATCAAAAATCAGATTATATCAGAAATGAAAGGGAACCTTCTCAGATTGTAGTTTTCAATACATACAAATAACAGATTTGTTTTTCCCATCAAGTCTTGCTGCATTGGTTTTAAAGTTTCAGAGTCAGCTGGCTTTGACGTCATATTCTTTCTGATAATTCACAGACTCACAACAGTCAAAAATGCCCCCTTAGGGCTTTGTAAGAGAAAATAATCCCTCGGCACTTTGGGAGGCTGAGGCAGAAGGATTGTTTAAGGCCAGGAATTTGAAACTAGCTTGGGCAATTTAGCAATTCCCTGTCTCTAACAAAAAAACATAGCTTGATGTGATGGTGCATGCTTATAGCCCTAGCTACTTGGGAAGCTGACATGGGAGGGTTGTTTGAGGTCAGGAATTCAAAGCTGCAGTGAGCTAAGTTTGTGGAACTCCAGCCTGGGTGACAGAGCAAGGCCTTGTCTCTGAAAAAAAAAGAAAATAATATGTAGTTCCTATCTCATCCCCAGTAGCTCTATATATGTGAAGAACTAATCATAGTATTTTCTTTTTTTTTCATCCCTTCCCCCAATCATAGCATTTTCAAATGAAATTTAACTTCTATGAGTATTCTGTGGGATTTTCTATGGCTTATGACTGAAACCAGAGTCTTAAAGTTGAGTGGTAACTTACAAATCATTGAATTGAGCCCACTTCTTTGATATCCTTCACCTGGGGCATTATTCATCATTTATTTGAAGTATTTCAAAGAACTTATTCAGCATACCCTTTATTGAACACTTACTTAATCTGTGTCAGGTGCATACTGTTTTAAGCATTAAGGAGAGAAGATTGAGTCTGGCAGAGGAACTCACTGAGCTTTTTTCAAGACATGGCATTTAAATAAAATGATAATGTTTGTATGTTTCCTTGGAGGAAGTGGAGGAAGTGGAGTAAGTGCTCTTAGTTTGAGTATCCTAGAGAATTCTTTTGGACACTCAAGTATCTCAGCACACTTGCAAATCCTTTCTGGTACACCAGATGGGAATCTTAGGTGTATTAAACACAAAATCGTTTTTCTGTCGAGGCGGGAGATTTATACCATTTGTGGGGTATTAAAGGCATGGACGTGCATTTAGGGCTGAGATATTTCTTGGTGTCCAGAATTCTAGGTCAATTAGGCATATTATTTTCGGAGAAAGGATGCAACAAGGGTCTATGCATTGGACAGTTCCAAGGAGCTCCATTCATATTACATTCTGTATGAATGGTGTTCTGGGAGTTGCACGTGCACTGTTCTTGATGTAGCTTTCCATGCATATCTTGGGAAAAAATCCAGGCCAGTCGCACTGATATAACTAGAGTCTAGCCTATATATATAGCTTTCAGGATGTTTTCATCAGAGTCATTATAGCTAATTAACTAATAGAAATCTCTATGTTGTTTTGAGAAGTATGTAGAATATCACCTGCAGAAGGTTCTGTAGTCTCTTGACATTATTAAAAATTCTATTTATAATTTTCTGGTTTTTTGCCCTTCATGCTGTGATCCAAGGACTGAAGCAAACATATCTTTTCCTTGGGATATTTTTGTTATTGTAGTTTTTACCTTTTTAATAATCAAAACAGTTTAATTTTATTTTTATAATATAGATAGACTAGTCATATAAAACAATTATAAATTGAAAGCTAGTACTGGATAAAAGGCTATGTTATTAACAATTAAGGCAAAATAATTTAGTTGTGCTTATTCTGTAATTCTTGTTATGCTGTGTTTTCATCCTGAGTTTTTAGGCATTGCTTTCTCAGAAGGCTAATAAGGAAGGTGATATCCTGTTTCAAAAAATTTTATTCTTATTGATGTCCCATGTTTTGTCTACCTAAAGTGTCAACCCAAGAAAAAGTCTACGCCACTAAAGTATGAAGTTGGAGATCTCATCTGGGCAAAATTCAAGAGACGCCCATGGTGGCCCTGCAGGATTTGTTCTGATCCACTGATTAACACACACTCAAAAATGAAAGGTAATACCTTCAGTTGATTATACATGATAAAATATAGTATGCAGTTGCCTTTTGTATAACCCAATTTTTATTGCCTTTAATAAGAATCTGTTTTCTCCTATGAATGTTTTGTGAATGAATCGTTAACATATTTTATCTCTTTTGAGTTTTTAAATTTGTTTTATTCTATGATTTAAAAATTCTCAGTTGATTTAGCTGTAGACATCAGGAAAGTGTTAGGCCATTTACCTGAAGTTTACATTATCCAGAATTACCTTTCATTATATTTACATATTTATACTTGAATCTTCATGTTTGTATCATTTTTGATCATTTAAAAGCTGAAACAATTATAAATATTGCTTATAAGTTATTTTGAATTTTACAATCTTAATTTTGAGTATTTCCTTTAATTACTATAGTTTGTTTCTTACTTGGTTGTTGTATTTGAATATCAGGTCTCTTATCTTTATTTATTTATTTTTTTATGGTATCTTTAAATTGCTATAAAGGAGAGCCTGAAACATGGTTTTGAGCTCTCTTTTTTTCTGTTAAGATGCTTTGTGGTTTTATTGTAGTTTTAATAAATGTATTTTGGTTTTTGAATAGGATATATTTATGAGATTCAAAACAGTCGTCTTTCTCCTTTGCTGTTATCTGCCCCATTTTTCACCCCTCCTTTCCATAGGTAACCAATTGTTACTAATGTTTCTTTCCAGTTTGTTTATGTAAATCCAAATATGTAATGTTATCTCCTGCCCCTCCCTTTTCGCATAAAAGTAGCATAGTGTATGTATATTTTGCAGCTTGTCTTTTCCATTTCTTAGAGATTTTTTTCATATTTTTCTATGGAATGATTTCCCCAAAGTTGGAATTGCTAGATTTGATTTTATATTTTGAATATTGAATATTTAGGTGTCCAAAGACCTTTATGAGTTTCCTGTATTAAACAGCTAGTACCTTATCCATTGTGGCCTGTCTGGATTTCTAAATTCTACTTATACAAAATTCTCTTGTTTTCTAACCTCCCTGTCCCTAGGGACTGCTGGTTCCTTACTCATTATAGTGTTCCTTATGCACACTAGTTGAGTCCATGCCATTTATTTTACAAATACTAAATATATTGTATTGATTTGAGTACCGTGCTAGGTGCTGGGATCCAGTAAAGGGCAAAAACAGCACCCCTGTTTGCCATCATGGGAAATTAGAGTCTAGTAAAAGAGACAAGGCACCAGCAAATAATGAAGTAGATAATTACATAACCGAGAACAGTGTACAAGGAAAAATTTTTGTGTGCATTCAAGTGATATATCAGGTACACTTACCTTGGACTTCTGTTGTGATGGTGTTGTAGGGCGGTTGACCTAGTAAAGTTGTCTTTTATCTGAGACTTCAGAGGATCAGTTAGGTGTTAACTAGGGAAAAGAGGAGCTGGTTCTCAGAACAGAAAATAGTATGTGCTCTGGCCGTGAGTGATCTACAACAGAGTAATGGAGGGTGGCACAATGTGAGACTGGGAAGTAGATATGCACCGAATCATTAGACCATGTAGACTTTGTTAAAAATTTTGTATTTTACCTATGAACAATGGGATATCATTAAAGCGTCATGAGCAGGGGGTGATGTGATTCGACTTATACTTTTAAAAGTTCACTTTGGCTGCAGTGTGGAGTAGAGGAGGCACAAATATATAAAGAGGAGATAGTTAAAGGAATCATTGCGGTAGTTATGATGTGATGAAAATTGTAAATAGAAAATAAAGAATGATTTCGGAGATAATTATCTATCTCACTTAGTAATGGATTGAATAATGGGGAATAAGGGTGAATGAATTCCTGAGGTTTCTAGCTCCCAGGTTTCTGCATCTCAGGATAGCTCTCATGTTTTTAGCTCCATCCGTGTTGCCATTTACTGAAAGAACCCTGGAACATTTATAGCTGAGAAGTGCCATCTGCCTGTTCATATTATTATAGTTGGAGCCATGGGCGAGGTATGGATGATATGATGTTGGGACAAAATATACTGTGAGACAAGAGGTTGCTTTGAAGAAGCCAGCATTTGAGGTCTATGGAGGAGACTGAGCTTGCAAAATAGATGAATCAGATATGTAAGAGGAAAACTGGGAGAATGTGGTGTCTAGTAATTAAAACACAGTAGTATCCACATGTGGTACATTCCAAGACCCAAAGTGAATGTCTAAAATTGTGGATAGCACTGGATCCTATATGTATATATTATGTTTTTTCCCATACATACATAACTTATGATAAAGTTTATTTTTTTTATTTTATTTTTCTGCTCAATATGATCTGCAGGAACATAAAGTTTGATTTTTAAATTAGGCACAGTAAGAGATTAATAACAGCAACTTACAATAAAAAAGAATTATAATAATAAACTTTAATAAAAGTTACATGAATGTGGTCTCTCTCTCTCTTCTCTCTCTCTCTCTCTCTCTCTCTCTCTCTCTCTTCTCTCTCTCCCCTTCTCCCTCTCTCCCCCTCCCCCCCCAATAGCTCATTATACTGTACTGCATATGACTGAAACCATGGAAAGCGAAACTGTGGATAAGGGGAGAGACTAATCTATTTTAAGAAGGAATGTGTGATCAGTTTGGTTGAGTGTTGGCTAGTGATCACATAAAATGTCCATTAGAGATTAGGAGGTGTGTAGATCACTGGTAACCTTTTTTTGGTGGTTTGATTGTGGCAGAAGTTGGACTGGACTGATTGAGGAAATGGAGACAGAGGCAGAGAAAGGAAGATGCTGTAGCTGGAGAGGTATATAGGGTCCAGAAAGATTTTTAAAAAGGAGAAGGATTATATAGTTAGTAATGATGAGAAGAGTTCTGGAGATAGGCTGAGGTGGAAGACGGAAGTAATACAGGATCAGAGATGGGATCCTCCAATAAGGGAGAAGGAGATGGTTAAATGTGATTCAGATCATAGTCAGGCTTTGGCCCGAATGGGAGGAAGAGAACCATTCTAGTGTTAACATTAGGGGTTGGTGAGGGTGCTGGGGATTGTAGGTTTGATGTGGGATACTTGAACATTTCCTATCTTCCCTGTTTCTCTGAGTGAAGAATGTGGTCATATCAGAGAGCAAATGCTATTGCTGGCAGGAAGATAGCTTTTTTTTTTTTTTTTTTAATTCAAGGGAGCTTCCCCAAAAGGGTAAATTTAAATAACTCCCTGCTGCAGAAATGATAAAACAAGTTAAAATGGGTCTCTTTAACCTTTTAGCCAGTTACTTCATATTACTGAATTTTTTTATTTTCTCCTTGTATTTTTATATTTCTCATTTTGGCTTTTTTCCCCAGGTGGTTGTGGCAAGCAATAATCAGCTAAATTCTGGAAAGCTTAATTTATACCCTTAGTAGTTACTCTCCATTTTTATTTGAATTTGATTTTTTCTGTGTATCTCCTTCATAGGAGATAACTGGTGGAACCACCAGTCTTACCATTGCAGCTGCCAAGTAGCTCATAAGAAATGTTTACTGTCAGAAATATTTTTTCTCCCACCGCACTGAAACTATGACTACTATTAATGTTTGATTTTGTAGCAGTGTAATCTCTTTGAACTTTTTATTTTGAAAGTTTCAAACCTACAGAAAAGTTAAATAGTAAAATGAACACCCATGTATAGTTACATAAAAAATTACTGTTTGGTGCCAATTGTTAATATCAGTGTAAAAATTAAACATCGTGTAATGTTCATATTGTGATCATTCATGCTTTTTGGTTTTTCAAAGTCAATTATTTCATGTGGTGTTAGAAAACACAAAGTTTCATAAAACCATTTTGTTTTGTTTTTTTTTTAAAAGTCATTTTTTATCAGATACAGTACATATTAAATAGTCAAGTGGTTAATTCTACAAGTCTTATTAAGAAAACAGTCTGGGCCAGGTACGGTGGCTCATTCCTATAATCTTAGCATTTTGGGAGGCCAAGGTGGAAGGATCACTTGAGGTCAGAAATTGAAGACCAGCCTAAGCAATGTAGCCAGACTGTCTCTACAAAAAATAGAAAAATTAGCCAGGCATGGTGGTGTGTGCCTGTAATGCCAGCTACTTGAGAGGCTGAGGCAGGAGGATGACTTGAGCCCAGGAGTTGAAGGTTGCAATAAGCTATGATGGTGTCACTGTACTCTCGAATGGGTGACAGAGCAAGACCCTATATCAAAAAAAAAAAAAAAAAAGAAAAACAGTTTGCTGTTGTAATACCCCTTCTCCACAGCACAAAGCACCTTCAACTCTTTTAGCTGGTGTGTGGTACTTCTGAAAATCAAAATGCCATTCTTTTGTATTAGTTTTCATTGCTGCATTGAACTCCATTTCCCACCTCACCCTCTGTCACCCTTTATCTTTCTTATTATACTTTTAATTTTGGTTAGGAATTCACTGTATACATTATTATGTTAAGGGTTGGGGCTGTGTCCCAATAAAACTAAGCCAGGTATCCTAAGCCAGGCATCCTAAGCCAGGTATGGCTATTATGTCTACTGAATGTGTATTGCTTTAGTACCATTGTAAAGTTGGAAAATTGTAAGTTGAACGATTGTAAGTCAAGGACCATCTGTAAATTCAATCATATATGTGGTCATTTGTAACTGATTTTTTTCACTTAGCGTAGTGTTTTCAAGGTCTGTTTATATATATGAGTACTTCGTTTACATGGTGATATTATTCACCATATTAGTACTTCCTCCATTGTATGATTAACATTTATGCATTCATTAGTTGGACATTTGGACTGTTTTCACCTTTAGGCTATTGTGGATAATGCTGCTAATAAGCATTCATGTATAAGATTTTGTGTGGATGTATATTTTCATATCTCTTGGATGTATACCTAGCAGTGGAGTTACTGGCTCAAATGGTAACTGTGTAATTTGTGAAGTACTGCCAGACTGTTTTGCAAAGCTGTGTGGCACCATTTTATTTTCCCACCAGGAGTGTGTGAGCATTCTGATTTCTCCACATCCTTGTTATTTGACTTTGTGAAAAAAGAAAGAAAGAAATT